TGGCTTCCTTCTTTCACGCGCAATGTTCAGGAGTCGGAAGATTCTTTGAGAGGAAATTGAAGGCAGTTGCATGACCTCTCTCCAGCATCAGGGTCCTCTTCGTGGCTGTGAACTCTAAGCCTTGTCTACTCAGACCAGTATGACTGCTGAGGTTTTAGCCCAATGTAATCCCCACAGTCTCATGACACCCGTTGGGAACTGGAGGGGAAACTGAGGGAAATGGAAGGCTCTCTTACTGGCAGGATCTTGGTCCCTAAAGTCCTGCTTGCTTTTATGACTCTCTGCTGACTCCAAACAGCTGCTTTCTGCAATATATTTAGCTTTTATAGTTGTTCTCTGCAGGGCAGTTAACCTGACACAAGCCACTCTGTCACAGACAGAAGGCAAAGTCTCCAGAGATTTATTTTTAAAAGTGGTTTTCAGGACATGTCCTGAGGCCATTGCACATTTAGCTGTGTCTCCTATATCTATCGGAGGCATCTCCAGTAGGGGGCTGGCAAGGTCTTTTGGTGTCTTTAGCATCATGGAAACATCTTAGTAAGCACCGCGGAGTGGGCTTGGCAAGTAGTGTTTTGAGATTGAGAACTGCTGAGTGCTGGGATTAAAGGTGTGCACCACCACTGCCCCAGAAGACTGATGTGCCATGTATGATTGTTCCTCACCGGACCACTCCGTTTCCTGTAACACCTCTTCTACAACTCTCGGTGGTGTCTACAGTCTTTCCCTTTGTACTACTGTGAAGGTAGTGTGAAACACACATGTACACATACACTTCGCCTCCTTCCTTCTCTTGGGATGCTGACTTCAGTGTTCTGATTCCTCTTGGTCACCATCAAGCCCCTTCCAACCCCTGGCTGTCAGCATCTTCACTGGAAACGGGTGGTGTAGAGGAAGTGGTACAATGAGGGGCACCCACTGCCTCCTTCTGGTTCTCTTGGTAAATTTGTCTTTAATATTCGGGTGAAAGAAACTTTGTGAGACAACAGGACACTTCAATAGGTCTTAGGGTCACACAACTCATTTTCTTAAGCTGGTTGGCCTTGTGGCTATGGGTCCATTAACAGTGGGGACGGGGGAGATATAATACGCCAGTGGGTGTAAGAGATTTTTCTGTCCTGCCTGCCGGCTCCCAAATAACCACATGGAGAGTTCTTATTTATTATGAAAGCCCAGCCAATTGCTTAGGCTTGATTTTAGCTAGCTCTTATAACTTAAATTAACCCATTTCTATTAATTTGCTTTCTGCCTCATGGCTTTATTACCTTTACTCTCTACAGCCTATGCTGCTTTCCTGCTTCCTCTGTGCCTGACTGGCAGCTCTGCTCTTCTTCCCAGCATCTTCACTGCCCTGAAGATTGGTCATTCCACTTTTTTATTAAACCAATCCAAGTGACAAATCTACACGATGCACAAAAGGATTATTCCACGACAAGTGGGTCTCACAGGGACTCCTGTGTGAATGGTAGCAAACATCTCAACGCAGCATCAGGTCCCTGCAACTTCCACGCCCATGAATCTTCCAAGATGTACTAGCAATAGTCATGTATTACGGTGATCCTGATCTCAGGATCCTGTGGCTTTAGATCTGGACTGCGGTCATCTCCAGGGCATCTGGGGCCTTTACTCTTCCCCCAATTTTTTCACCATGTCTACCAGTTATCAGAGCTGTACAGTATTCTCTGTTTGAGTACTTGGAAGGGACGCTGCTTTCTTGTTTAGATTCTGATTAGCTTCATGGCTAAACACTATAGCTAAAATATCTTTTACTTTCATCTATATGTAATAGAAGCAGCCTGGAAACACATTTCTCTCCAGTCCTTTGTCATCTCCCAAGATAGACAGTATCATTTCTTCATCCGACAAATATTTACTGAGACACTGGTAGATACTATAACTGAGCGCGGTGTTAAGGGATACAGCTGGGAACAAGAAAGGCCCTGTCTGTGACCTTGTGGTGCGTGCAGCTTTGTGGGCAGGATAGCCTTGAATTCCTAGGCTAAGGTGTGTTGTAGCAGACAGAGTTAGGGGACAGAGAGAGTTGGCTAAGTCACTCTGTGCAAGGAACACCACACACAGGTGCCTCAGTGTCCTCTCCCACAGAGGAGTACTCCAGCTCATGTTACTCCTAATATACTCAGGTTCAGGGATCATGTATGAGGAAATGAGTTGCTTATAGTTCAAGAGACAAATGTCCGGGAAACAAACTCACATCCAAGGTTTATTTTTAAAAGCAGTTCCCAGAGCCATAGAGACAGCACTGCCATGGGACAGGTGAGCAGTAAGTGAGCCTGGAAATGAAGCAAGAAGGACTGAGGTCCAAAGCTTGTATCCAGAAACTTGTTTCACAGTGACCAAATTAAAGTTACATCGTGGGAGAACTTCCTGGGCAGCCAGTTTACCAACTCTGACCTGTGTGGGAGTGGGAGGTTTCTACTTCACTTGGTCAAATCTCCCTCCAGGAAGGACCATTGGCTTCTAGTCTGGGCCAGATCTCCTTGTCACATGTTTCTTGTACTTTTTCTGCCACTCTGATCACTGGCCCCCGTCTCCTCCTCCTCCTATTCCTTCCTTCTCCCTTTTTCTCCCTGCTAATAATGTTGAGCACCCATCACGTTGTGATAGCTTCTTATGACTGAGTCTGCGGAGCAGCTGAAGTCAAAGGCTTATGTAATTTTTCCATAGCTTAAGACTCAAAGTTTTAAAGCTTCTTAGAAGAGTGTGTGTGTGTGTGTGTGTGTATGTATCTATGTCACAGTATTTTCAACTTTGAAGATTTCTAATCACCAATGGATCAACAACTAAACCTGGGACAGGATCTAGATCCATCTCCCCTTTTTGTGTTTGCTCTTGAGGTGCCAGTGAGTCTCACGGTGAGCCAGGCCTACATGCTCTGAACCTTCCCTCCTCTTGCTTTTCCTAATAGCCCGCACTCCAGGTCCTCAGTGGCTCCCTCGCCTCTTTGGATTCGGATTTCAACGAATCATTTATTTACATTTTATTCATAATTTTAATCATTCTGCAAACAATATTCTAATAGCATTAAACAATTGTAGAATCTAATAAAAGCCAGCCTTAACCTCATTGGAATCTCATTAAGAGGATGGCTGCTCTTTTTTTCTTTTCTTTTTTTCTTTTTCTAAATTGTTGAGGTTATTTTGCTGGCTTTTGTTTTGTTTGCATTACCCAGGAGATAAGGGGCATGGACGGGATCTGAGGATGTGGGTTTGCACAGGAACAATATTTTACTAATTTTCTTGAATTTGTGGATGAAAACGCTGAGGTTAGGGAACAGAAGGGGCTTATTCACAGTCATGTACTAAATCGTGGCACTTAGGAACCAGAGCTGTGGCTTGTGCCCCTTCATCGTGGATCTCTGCCGTGAGATCCGTGATGTGTGCATGCACCTGTAGCCCTGACTGAGACACTGGTGTGTCGGGAGATACTGTCTTCAGGAACACTGATGAGATATGGTTCACCTCCAGAATGGCGGGGTAGCCTCAGGCAGTATTTGATAAGGTTATCATGTTACTTGCCTAACCTTTCCTATAGTAGCCTAGGAGTGTTCCATTCAGGTCCACCTGTCTGGATCAAAGACCTCTGTGTTCTGGATGTTGGAGGAGGCCACTTGTTGGTTCCCAGCTGCTCATCAGCTCAGCCCTGAAATAATCACACAGAAACTAGATTATTTAAATCACTGCTTAGCCCATTAGCTCTAGTTTCTTATTGGCTAACTCTTACACCTTGATTTAACCCATTTCTATTAATCCGTATATTACCATGAGGTCATGGCCTACCAGCAAAGTTTCAACACTCCTGCAGTGGCTCCATGGCTTCTCCCTGACTCTGCCTCCTTTCTCCCAGCATTCAGTTTAGTTTTCCCGGCCTAGCTCTGTTCCCCTATAGCTCTGCTATAAGCCCAAAGCAGTTCCTTTCATTAACCAGTGGTATTCACAACATACAGAGGGGAATCCCACATCATCTGGGCTCTGAGATGGGCGACTCTTTACCTACTATAAGAAAAAATAAAATCTGCACCAGAATGACTCACTGAGAAGGTCACAGGTCAAAGGAAAAGAGAATGAGAGAAAAAGAGGGAATAGGCAGAAAACCTTTCTTGTGGTCTCATCAGCACGTGCATACTTACGTCCCTGTCTCTTGGAAGAAAAATCTACCACTAGTATTAATAATTATGCTAGCTTTTGTATGGCACTTTGCAGTTTATGCTGTTTTTACTGTGCTTTTGAATCCATTATCTCTTCACATCGTATGCTGTGGGAGATGGAAGGGGGGAGCAAGGAAGCTGGCTTTTTTGGGGGCTGAGCGCTCTCTCTCTCTTTGTTTCACTAGAAGTGGAGCCCTCCAAGGTGGGTGGTGCTATCCAAAGTGGGCACCGATGTCACACTTAGTGAGACTGTGTAGTAGAGGACAATGCCTCCCTGTCAGCCGTCTTTCCTTGGAACCCCCAACTTGTCTCTTCACGCTGTTAGTCCGGATGCCCTATTTCCAGCCTGGGTCTTCATTTCTCTTTGTGCTGAAAGCTTGGCTAGACTTTGCAACTGGTTCTGCAGAAGTCTGGTTCCTGTCCCGGGCCTGTGACTGATGCTAGAGTTCTCCTATAAAGCTGGGCCTTCACTGGAACAAAGCTGCTGTCACCAATGGGACTTTGCCAACTGGCAATTCCGGAATTTCCTGTGGTGGTGTGTGCCCTCTTGTGATAGACATGTAGACTATTGTAGGTAATGGAGGGGGCTGAAACTCAAATCAAATATTGGTGCATGCAAGAAAACGAAGCTTTAGGAAATTTCCAGAACTGGTTTGATCTGCTCTCTTGGGGCAGTAGGACAAATGGCAGGGATACAAAGATGAATACCATGCCTACCACACTTGCCACCCAGACCAATTAACTGAATTTCTTCTAGTTTAAAAGAACACAGAGAGCCAGGTAGTGGTGGCACATACCTTTAATCCCACACTCAGGAGGCAGAGGCAGGAAGATCTCTGTGAGTTCGAGGCTAGCTTGGTTTAGGACAGGCTCCAAAGCTATAGGGAAAAGAGAAAACCTCTCTCAAAAAATTAAAAACCAAAATCCACACCCCCAAAAGCACCCAGAGAAAGAATAAGTCAGTGACAATTCATTCAGACCACCCGCTGTTCTGTGACTCCCTCCTCAAACAGCCTCTTGCTCCCCCATCTCTGCCAACCTCTCCTGTCCACCTTTCCTTAAATGATGCCTGAGCTGTATGTATCCACGTCTACTGTCTTTAATGGCTCATCTGCTACACTCACTGTTCTCTCCTTGCTTGTCCCTTGGGCATTCATGTTCCGATCTTCTGTTGGATTGTTTGTTCACAGCTGATGGAAAACTGTGGCCTATTTTCTTGACCGAAGCTGAGCCAGGTGAATGATCTCCAGGCCCTTGGTGTCAGGTAACTTCTCAGTTCCTACCTAGGACCCAAGAAAGGATAAGGTGAGGGGGTAGTGGTGTCTTTGACTACTAAGAAAATGCCCTCAGTCACTTCTAATTTACCATGCCAGATATCAGACACCTAACACAGTATATTGTTTTTCTGAGGACTGTCTAATTTTCCTGGGCTCTGCCTGAGAATCCAAGAGTGCTCAGCTGTATGCTGGGATTTCCTAGTAAGGCTGTGGGGCCAACTGTCAAGCTCTCACGACCCTAGAGGTTCCGAGTGCTAGGAGAACCCAGGAATTCTTTGCCTTTATTCTCCTTCTCCTGCCTCTGCTACCATGGTAAGGACGTTCACTTTCATTATTCAGTCCAGTGGGGGCACATCTACGCCACATTCTGCTTCTGTGTTCTGTGTTCCATGCCCCCCTCCACTTTTAGTAGGCAACAAGCTTTTTAATCTAGTGTAGCAGTAGGGATGTAGGGCAAAGAAAAAAGAAAACCAAAACCAAAAAAAAAAAAAAAGTTTAGTGAAATTTAGTTTCCAAAATGCAATTTCCCTTTTGTTCCCGATGTCATTTCCCAAATGCCATGGTATTTCGTCATGTCAGTGACAGCATGGGTGGAAGAGCCCCTTGGACATGGTCATTCGGTCCCCTTTGAGTGCGCTTCCTATAGCCCTAGACGGCTCTCTTCCCACACGTTCACATGTTGCAGCCAAGCATCATGAATAACCCAAGGCCACAGACCACTCTCCCAGGCCCAGTTTCCTTATGGACTTAGCCCACTTAGTATAGAAACGTCTACCCCAAGTCATGCTTGTGAGTACGCCGAATAGAATTTTGATGTATGACGGTTTCACATTTACTGTCTCAATTTCTTTGTGTCTCTTTGCTAGCATCCAAACAAGAAAACTCTGAAAGTGTCCTCTTTAGATACATTAAAAAAAAAATAACAAGTTGTTGCTCATTCTGGGTCAAGCCTTCAGTAAGCAAACAGACCCAGAGGTGGTCTATGCCCTGCAACCTGTGAACTCTTCATGGTCTTTAAAAATAAATATGAATAGTGGGTGGTATAAAAACAATGGCCTAATAAGAATCTGTTATCCCAGGGGAGTTTGGATTTGGGGGCCGACAGAGGAGATCATTTATATCTTTGAGGGAGAAACATACATCTATCAGCCTCCATCCCCCATCCCTGGCGCTTATATGTGCAGAGTTTAGCATCTGAGGGCCTTCTGACAAATTACATCACTGTTCAGACCAGCAATGGCTGTCCTCCCGGATTTGAAGCGAGAATGTAGAATTAGAACAGAGCTCAGTGTGGCCACTGTGGAGCTCCTGGGGGCCAGAGTGAAGCGCAGAATGAAATTAGCTATTAGGCCCCCTTCTCAATGCAGATCGGTTTTTGTTGTCTCCCCTCTGGGAACTCCCCTCATCACGTGACCTTCTGGCCGCTTCCTTTCCGCACTGATCTTTCTGATTGCTTCCCCAAAACCGGGCCTTACCTTCCAGCTGCGGCGTTAAAAGGTTTTAGAACTATGCTGACCTCTTCCCTGATGGTGGGGAGCCACCTCCCGTTTTCTGAGTGCATTTTAAGCATGCCTTCCAAGTTCAAGTGTTCTCAGCTCAGGGCTGCCCGCCCGTACTGCTCTGAAAGTGGGAATCTTTTCTCTCTCCGCTCTGCCCTTGGTGCAGCGCCTTGCCGTTCTGGATCCAGAAGGGTGGACCTTTCAGCCACGCAGTGTGCGCCACTGCCCATTCTTCACAGAACCCGGGTCTTGCCTTCACCTCTAGTGTTCCCTGATATCCTAATGGCTAGGCCATCACAGTCCTCTCTTCCCTGTTCTCCTGTCCTCCACCTTGGGTCTCGGTCCATCATGGCGATCAATACCTGACAAGTGGGTGATGAATGGCGTCTTCCTTTCCCTCCATAAACTAAAACTCAACTGACACTAGTTCGTTTATATCTGAATCACCCTCATCATTCAAAGACTGATTGGACAAAGCCAAATTGGAATGTGAGCTGGCCGATTCTTTCTCTCTCCGCTTAGCCTGTACTCACCCGCCTCACTTCCTCCTGTGCAGGGTCCTGGTGGCTGAGGGGTGTAGATAGGAAAGATCCAGTTGCTTTATCTCTGCATGGAGATTCTTGAGAACGCTCCCCTTTTCACCCAGATTTTCTGGGAAAATTATGAAAAGACTGTGACCATGTTTCAGAAATATAACAATATACCTAGTCTTTCCTCAGTGGAACCAGGACAAACAATGATTCTTTTGGAAGAGAAGAACTTGGAATTCTTCCATGGCATTTAGAAAATACAGCACCTCTCTTCTGTTACCAGATCAATAACGACAACGACGGCGATGGAGATGGTGCTGTTGGTGGGGGTGGGGGTGAGTGTGTGGTCAGAACTGTCTGCACCTGTTTTCGGTCTCGAGAGGGAGTATGAACACATGGAATTTTAGCCCCTTGTTTTCTCATTGTCTCAATCGTGTCATCCCGATCTGCTGCTGGTTAGCCATGGTTGTGTTTCGATAACTTCTCTGTTGCTGTGGTAACCTGTTGAAATGTCATCTAACTATGATAGGACATTTTCCCCCCATGTTGGGGGCTAGCCTGCGTGCTGTCTGGAGTCAGGCCAGCTGCCAAGTCAGGGAATGTGACTGTTTTATGTGTCCCTTATTGAAAGACACTTAAGACTGGCCAAAGAAAAACTTACTGTGAGATTTACTCGGCATCAAACAGCCAGACTCGTCTGGGAGTCCCTGGCCCCCTCTTACTAAATGGATGGAAGTGGCTTATTGCTTTGGTACCTGAGAGGTACAATAGAGAAAATGCTTCAGAAGCTCCGGCCGTCTCTCCTGGGGGAAATCCCATCTGTATCCATGTCCGAAAAACATTTGCTTTGTCTCGACTCCCTCCTTCCCCTGACCCCCACCTTCACCCACACTCAAGTTCCCTCTCCAGGAGGGCTTCCTCTCAGCACTCCAGTTTCCGGCATGTAGCCACTCGCTTGGAGTCTCCACATGGTTGCTGCATCAGATCTTAAAACAACCATCTCTGTTAACAGAACTCTGGTCATCTCCTCAAATCACTCTTCCTCCCATCTTTCCACCCAAGGGCTAATGCTCAACAGGTAACAATCTAGAAGCTTCCAGTGACCACTCCGTTCCACTCCTACCCCATTCCCTCTGGCCTAATAGCTCATTCATCAGCTTGTCCTTTTGCTAATTTTTTTTCCTTTATTTTATCTTATTGAGACTAAATCTCTTGCAACCCAGTCTGGCCTCAAACTTCCTGTTGGAGCTGAAATTGGCCTTCTCCAGCCTCCATCTCCTGAGTGCTGGGCTTACAGGTGTACGCCAACACACCTGACAGTCCTGTTGATTCCGCTTCCAGAACCTACCTTCTGGCTCATTCTCTACATGGAAGTCTTCTTAAAACTGAAGTGAGACCAGATCACTCACCTTGCCAAAACTCACCATTGAATTCCCGTCACACTTAGAATAATATCTGAATTCTGTGTCCAGATCTCTAAGGCTCTCAAGTATCTCTGAGACCCTATCCTGTGCTTCCTTCCTCCCCCTACTTTCCCTCTCGGTGGCTGCCCCCTGTTCTTGGCTATACTACCCCACCTCCCTCCTACCCCTCTTCTAGGCTGGAGATGGAGTCGAGGCAAACATCCTTAACACTAACGTATAGTCTCAATAGGAGAATTCTACTAGCTTCCATCGGTTGGAACTCCATGTCCTTTCTCGTGACCTTTTCTGCAGGGAGCACCATCTTCTCCCTGGCAGCACCCCCTTCCTAGATCTGTCTTAGCTGCTCCCTTGGAACTTCTTCTGCCCATCATGACAGACTGGGTTCAGCTGCCTTGTGTATTCCTCATGGCCCTCCATGTTCCCGAATGACCTGCTTGTCCTTTCTCTATAGCCTGGCTCCCTGCCTGGGCCATGAGATCCACGGGGCAACACTGTGCGTGTCTCCTCCGCCGAGCCAAACCCAGTGTCATGAATTGAGCCCACAGGAAGAGACAGGCAGGTGACGGTGACACTGGAGAAGAGGTGCCGAGCTTGAGGGAAAACACAAGACAGCCTTGCTGTCCTCATTCTAGACGCGACTCCAGCCCCGCAGTGTGACAATGGGCAAGCCTGTCACTCGCATTTCTCATGCTTATTATTCTTTTTCCGCCTCAGCTGTTTAAAGATAAACATGGTCTCAGCTGTCATGCAAAAATTAGCACAAAGTTTTCTGTTAGAAATAGATGTTATCTGAAAATACTTGACGCTCTGTGTCTAGTACAGAGAAATCCGAAATTAAATACAAATGTCCCGTAACACAGTATTTTATTTTGCCGTATCCTGACCACTTTTTTTTTTGGTGTGGTAGACTGTTTCTTATTCTTAGTCAGAGAAAGGAAACCATCAGTGTGTTCCTAACACCATAAAAATCCTCATTTTGATTATTTGTCATTATGTATATTCATTTGCCTCACAAGAGCCTAAAGTAGAAATAACCCAATTATATATCAACTGATGAATGCATGAATAATGTGCCTACAATATATAATCTACACAATAGAGTATCCTTTAGCAATAAAAAACTGAAGTGCTGATACGTATCACAACACCGATGGACCCTGAGACATGCTGGGAAAGAAGCCAGTTATATAGGATGCCAGACTATGACATAGAGTCAGAAGTAGACGGAAAGTAGATTGCGCGTAGCCTTGAGCTGTGGCGTTTGTAAGGAATTTGGAGTGACTGCTAATGGATGTGGCATTTCTATTTGGGGTAATGAAAATGTTCTAAAATGGATGGTGGTGATGGATGTTCAACTTTCTGCATATACTAAGAACTACAGAATTATATTTTCAGTGGGGGAATTCTAATGGTATGTGAATTATATTTCAATAAAGCTGTTTGAATTAATTAATTTATTGAATAAAAGTGAGAGGAGCCTGGTTCTCAGATGACAGCATGACTGAATAGGCAGTGTGTGGGGGGGTTGTGTCAAACGCCAGCTTTGATTAGATGTGGATAATTGGTCACACCCTTCCTTCTTCCCCCTCTCCTTCCTTCCGTCTTCCGTTGACATCTTTTGGAACCTTGCCTCTGAGGCGAGTCAGGTGGGGTGGTTATCTTTCAAGAGTTGAGCTGAGGTGTGGCCAGCAGAGTGGCAAGGTGTTGTGGAAAGGAAAGAGATAATCTGTTGTTCAGTGGGCACAGATTGGGCGTCCTGGGGGATCAGTTAGAGGAGTATGTGTGTTTAGAAACATCTTC